ACCCCCCCCCCCCTTGAGGGTCCCTCAAATTTCAATTGTTTTGAACCAGTCTTGACATTCAGATGTATATTGAAACTCAACTATTAAAAGAAACGTCTAATTTCGAGAATACGCTCATAGTTCATATGCCGTTCATATGCATAATTACCGTGTGGCATAAGCCCGAGCTTTTGCAAATTATTACCCCGACTTTGATGCATACCTGTATGTTTGCACACTAATTGCTACGAATTCACTTTATTACATTCCACGACAACAGAAATCGGGATCCGAGAGTTCGCTCATGCGACGAACGCGGCTCAATCTGCGGGTTTTCGGTCGGGCGACTCCCACACGGTCGCCACGCACGGCCTTGCTCCTCGCTGTTTGTTTGAGGTTCGGTCGATGAGCTGGAGGATTCTTCTGCCGTGCTAAGGAAAAACGCTGTATGTCCAACCGAAAGTTGCCAAATCTTTCCGGACAAAACCCGTATTTTCGAGGAAAGTTATGCACGTTCCCGCTTGAAATTTTCATATATTTTAGATTAAATTGCAACCGAAACTGTCTTAAAATTTCAAGGAAAAAAATTCACGATTTACCCGCTGAGTTTGCTTTTTATCGAAGGAAATTGGGCGACGTTTGAAGGCTCATATGGCATTCCTCTTTAGCATGGCAGTCTTGAGGTATCGGCGTTCGAGCCCAAACCGAGAGGACGCACAGTGGAGCGAGTCAATGATGGAGGTCGGGCAAAATTTAGAGACTTTAATTGCTTATAACACCGTTTATAAAAAAACTTTGAGGTTTTAAAAGTGGGTTCATTGGTTTCCTCGTGGTTTTCTCTTACAGGGGCACCCCGAAAAATTGAAAATTTGACTATAATTATATCAAAATTTGCAGTTTTAGTCGAAAAATTTATGTCCGACTTCTTTAATTGACCCGATCCACTGTGGCCCGGGAGGACAGCATCTTGGCGCTCCTCGTTGTTAACATATAGACCATAAATGTAGAATGTAGTCCACTCTTTCCCCTGTAACCCGTTCCGAGGAACGCGGCGACAAAGCCTAAAGCCGAGGAATCCGAACTCGGTTGCCGGTTGGGTCCAGTCGCCTCGCGACTGAAATGGTAACAAATTGTTTAAAATTCCTACTATCCACTCAAATTCTCAGTAGATCCTTGGTAAAAGACCGTCCTTTAATTACGTAACACACCTCTTGAAGTGTGGTGGACGAAAATTTGATCGATCAACCGAGTTTTTTTGATTGATCCGACCGAAGAAAGAGTAACTCACAGTAATCCAAAGATTCGGGAATTTTTAACGGTGGTGTTGCATCACGACAGGTGTTGATCATCTAAAAATTCTAAGGTTTTTTCGTAACTATTCCTTGCGATTAGCATTTGGTAAACTTTTCACGCTGAAGGAGATAAGTTCGACCTGAAGCTCAAGGTCTAAGTGATGATGGATTCTGTCGATTATGAAAAGTTGGAATGTTACGCAATTAAAATAACTTGCAGAAGAAAAATAAACAACTACCGAAACTGGAAATCAGGAAAAGTCCGGAAAGGAGGAGCTCTTGCGATTGCAATGGCGAATGGTAATTGATTTCATTGCCTGAGTCGCTACTGCCACAAAGTGTTCAGTGGAGTATGTTTAGCGATTCTTAGCGGTCATGTGCGAAAATTCTCCATCGGAAACATTTTAAATCAAGTTGAATACACCAATATAGGAAACAATTTACTTGAAATTGCACCTCATTCGCACAAAAATGATAACCACAAACATTTTCGTTCCAAAAAGAAATGTGAAAATCTGCCTGTATTTATTAACGAGCAAATTTCTGCTCGCAGTGAAAGTTGGTTCTTTTTTGCCAAATACTTTGCGAATTGAGTGAAGTGCGACATTATCGTCTTCAAATGATGAGTGCGCCAGGAAAAAAGTATCCTTAAGTGTAAGCTTCGACTAATTGTTAGACGTATTCCTTGCGGATATTCATGCATTCTCATCGTTTTAAAGGTGTATTTTATTTTATCTTATACAAGTGCCAGAAAAAAATTCCACTGTAAAGGAGATCTCTTCGACGGTTCTCATTGTTTGTGCCACTCTGAATATTAATTCTCAATCTGAACCAGAGGTATGGCAATCTTGGTTGCTGACATTACGACAGGAATTCCATTCATCCAATTGGAATTTGGCTCAGAGTAAATGGAGTGAAAATTAAAACGCGGAGTACGAAAAGAGATGTTAAATTTGAGCTTTGCACTTTTCGTTTAGAATTTGGAAAAGGCTAGGAATTTGCACTCAGCGTAATTTTGACGTTTTAATCCTCTTTGTCAGAGAAAACTTGGGAAGCAATGGTAGCTTTCCTTTAGAAAGATTTCCGAAAACCTCTCAATCTATAGCGTTTACGCTGTGTTCAAGTGGCGTTGTCGAAATGGTTGGATGGCGCGCGAGGATTATTTCATTGCTTTTGTGCCTCAGAAGAAAAGAGACCGACATTCACGGTTTTAATTTTCATTCAAAATCCTCTAAATCGCCGTTGAGTCGTTTGGATATGCGAAAGGATTTTAAGTAAATAAGTCACAAAAAATAAGCCTCCTACAGTCATACTTAATGTCAGGGAGTTCGTTATCAGCAGCGCTCGGAGCAAGTCGTTAGTGTCCTGTGCTCTCCTATCTGATTAACTAACTCTCGGCGCTTTTAAGTGTTTACGTGGCTTTTTAGCCTAAAGCCTAAAACTTTAAAATTCATATAAAATGTGAATTACAACTTTTATTTTGAAAGCTGGGCCCTGGCCCAGCATACTTTGAACCCTGTCTTTCGGTGCGACTAGTTTTTAGTGACTTTACTAGTGTCTAGTGGACTCAACAATGAGAGAGTGTTTTGCCCATGGCACCAGACAATGCTTAACCTGTAAGTGTACCACTCACAATAAAACAGACTGCTTAGACTCTCTTTGTTCTCAAATTAAAGATGCAAAAATAGCTGGTGAATATTCTAACATCTATTCTCACAGCTCTCAACCTAGCATCTCTCTCTCCCAAACTAGACGAAATAGCCTACCTAACGATAAGCTAAACACGGCTAGTAAATATTCAAATCCACAGGCAGCAAGAAGTGCAAACTTTTCAATTCCCCACATGAGTGCCAATAACTCCACTTCCGCACCTCAATCTAATAATCTGCCTCCAAATCAAACCACAAATTCCAACAACATGTCCAGCAAAAGAGATGAAGAATTAGAATTTCTAAGGAATCAAAACTCGCAATTATTAAGCCAAGTTCAGCAATTAACATCCCAGCTGAACACAATGTCTCAACAAATTAGCGAGCTAGTTGCATCCTCGCAATCCCAAAACAACAACAACTCCAAGCGTCCTAGGGACTCCACCAACGACTCTCCGAGGAAAATTAAGAAAGTGCCCTCTCTGGCCCAGAAACAATTGTTTGCGGACCAAAACAAATTTGCCAACCTCTCAGATGACATGGACGAGGATTCAGCTGAAGATGACAACGACATCTCATTGGGCTCCGACGATGGAATCTTTATAAATCCTGGTAACCTCAATCCAGTAGTCAACTCCGCCATCAATAGAATTAAAAAAACTAAGGCAGTAGCCAAAAAAACTAAAACTATTGAAAAAAACAAAATTAATGACAAAAAAGATGATAACAACTCTAATCCTAACGTATCTGTAACAACTTCTTCTGCTAATTCGATTAACTCTTCTCAATCTACAGAAAATAAAACTAGAAAACTTAAGAAACCTCCCCCTATTTACACTGCTATAAAAACTAACTTCAATGACCTTTGTAAAGCTCTAAACAAGATTGATTCCACCAAATGGAGCTCAACAGTTTTATCCAACGACTCCTTCAAAATCAATTCTATCGACGACGAAACTCACAACTTAATTATAAAAGAACTTCAAACTGTAAACATTTATTTTAACACCTTTGAAAATAAAAATATTAGACCTATAAGAGTACTAGTTAAAGGTCTTCATCATGATACTTCTGTTACTAACATTATTAATAGTTTGAAAGCAAGTGGTTTTAAACCACTCAATGCTACAGCCAACCTCAAACGAATTGTCGAATATCCAGGGAAAAATCAATCTGATACTCCTCTTAATGTTTCAGCAACTTCCAAAGAAACGGACAAGTCGACAAATACTACCCCTGATTCCGTCCCTAATAATGAAATTTCAGCTAATGATCCTCAACTTGTTACGATCGACTCTGATGCTTCGGCGGAACCTAGCGGCGGCGATGCAAAAGTGGAAGGAACTCAAGGTAAAACAGGGAACGATACTAATCTGCAAAGTATCCCCCCTGTAATCAAGTATCAACCCTTAAATACGTTCACTGTTAGTTTTGACCACAGCGACAACATAGAAAAAATTTTTGAAATTAAAACAATAGCAAACATGAGAGTTATGATCGAACCAATTCCATCAAACTCTCCTTTAACACCGATACAATGCAAAAAATGTCAAGGTTATAATCATTCTAGTAACTTTTGCAACTATCCTCCTCGCTGCGTAAAATGTAGCGGTGAGCACATGTCATTCTTATGCGAAAAACCAAAGTATATTCCAGATCCAAAGTGCGTAAATTGTGGTGGCAATCATGCAGCCAGCTATAGGGGATGCCTGATTGCCAAAACAATTACGGAACAAAGAAGAGAACTCTTCAAAAAAATCGAAGAGAAAAAAGCCATCAGAACAGGGCAACAAGTAACCCCAGCCGCTTCAACCCTTAAAAAAGGAGTCTCCTTTAGAGATGCATTCAGGAATGATAGAAGCTTTCCTAAATTAAACAATACTAGTCAAGAACCGGCAACAGCAAATCAGAATGATAATTCAACAAATAGTCAAAATCCCCAACATCAACCTCAAGATAGATTCGATGAACTTTTCGCCACTATGAGTCAAATCCTTGACTCAGTCAATAATCTGGCCCAAAGAGTGGCAACATTAGAAAATAAGCTCCAAGTTCGCCCTGATAGTACTCAACGCAGTTTGAAATGAGCAACCTATCCATTAGGATCGCATGTTTTAACTGTAACAGTATTATTAAAAGGTCAGACGAAGTTTACCGCTTTATCCATGACAGAGACTTAGACATTATGTTACTAACGGAGACCCATCTCGCCAGTGGCCTGTCGTATCGTGGGAGACCCAAAGGTTACGATTTTTTCAGAGTTGATCACCCCAGTGACTCCTGTAGAGGAGGAGTGGGGCTCCTAATTAAAAAATCTATTAAATACTATTACGATCCTAATTTGGACGTCTCGACGGAGAACTTTCAGGCCGTGGGGGTGAGTATCTCGACCAATCTGGGAGAGATATTCATCGCCTCGGTCTACTGTCCTCCGAACGAGACTACAAAAAAGAAAGATTTCATCGAACTCTTTGATAAACTCCCCAAAAAGCTGATTTTAGCCGGGGACTTTAACTCCAAATCCCTAGCCTTCGGTTGTAGATGTCACAACCCTAGAGGCAAGGAACTATTACAAGCGATAAATGACAAACATGCCAATGTTATCACCGATGGGTTTCCCACATATTATCCAAGTGACCCGAATAAAAAGCCGGACCTTCTTGACTTTTTCATTACCCGCAATATCTCTAGGAATTATTTAGCTGTAGGTTCAGAGATCGAATTGAACTCCGACCATATTCCTATCAAACTAGCAATTCACCAATCTGTTATCTTGAAAAAACGCAATCAGATAACAAACGCTAAAACTGATTGGGACCAATTTAGAACTCTTCTAAACGAAGAGATCGTTCTCTGCCCCATTGATAGTATCCCCAAACTTGAGGAAGAAGCTAAAAGACTAGCGGAGTTGATCACGTCTGCGGCTACCAGGGTGTCACCTATTATTAGATACACAAACACACAACTCTGCCTCTCTCCTGAACTCAGGAACCTAATTGCCGAAAGGAGAAGAGCAAGAGCCAAATGGCAAAAAAGTAGATTCTACAAAGACAGGCAACACTTCGAAAAAATCAACAGACTTACAACAACTAAAATTTCAGAGTTTAGAGACGAACAGAATTATAATTATCTAAAAGAATTAACTCCCACCCCCACAACTGACTATTCGTTGTGGAAAGCCACTAAGTACTTAAAAAAATCCCAAGGATTCTCTCAACCACTACAAAAACATGATGGAAAGTGGACCAAAACTCATCAAGAAAAAGCCGATGAGTTTTCCCGCCATCTAACGGAAGTATTTCAACCCCATAAAGACATTATTTCAGACATAGATGTAGATTTAGAAAGAGCCAAAATTACTCCTTCCCCCCCGGAAGAGATTAGCAAGGTGACACCCTCGGAGATCTCAGACATGATCAAATATAAAGTGAAAGTCAAGAAGGCGCCAGGAATGGATGCTGTCACTGGCGAGATGCTAAAAAACCTCCCTAACAAAGCCGTCAAAAAAATTTCTGATATAATTAATGCTATTTTCTTTTTTCAATTCTTCCCATCAACCTGGAAGGTCGGGGAAGTCATACTTATCCACAAAAAGGGTAAACCCGCACATTTGGCATCATCTTACAGACCTATTTCTCTCTTGTCAATATTGGGCAAGCTCTTTGAGAGAGCATTTCTTAAAAGACTCATGCCCATTATTGATGAGAGAGAAATAATACCTGCACACCAGTTCGGCTTCCGTAAAAGACATTCCACGGTGGAACAAGTCCACAAAATTACAAATTTAATCGAGAATTGTTTTGAACATAAAATGATCTGTTCAGTCACTCTCCTCGATCTAGCACAAGCCTTCGATAGGGTTTGGCTGGCCGGGCTAGCACTTAAAATCTATAAATTACTTCCCACAAATTACTTCCTACTATTAAACTCGTATCTTCATGGCAGAACATTCCGCGTTCGACATGAAGACTCATATTCAAAATTTATGCCTATACTCGCCTCGGTCCCTCAAGGATCATGTTTAGGCCCAGTTTTATTTTTAATATACATGTACGATTTTCCCAGAACCAGAGGAACTCGAGTCTCGACCTTTGCCGACGACACGGGCATTTCTTCCTTCGGTTCTAATGCTAGAACGGTCGGTCAAACCCTCCAGAGAGGACTGGACAGATCATCAAAATTTTGCAAACGCTGGAGGACTTTGGTAAACAGCACCAAGTCCCAACATTGCACTTTTAGTAAGATAAAACACCCTGAAATCGAAGTTAAATTAAACGGTGAAACTATCCCTGCCGTCAAAACTGCCAACTATCTGGGAGTGAGGCTCGATACGAACCTAACGTTCGGCCCTCACATCCAGGCCAAAAGGAGGCAAATCTTAACAAAATATAAATCCATGTGGTGGCTTTTCAAACCAAACAATGGATTATCTCTCAGAAATAAAATATTGTTGTATAATATGATATTAAAGCCGATCTGGACCTATGGATGTCAACTGTGGGGGTGTGCTGCAAAGACAAACATCCAAAGGATCCAGTCCGTTCAGAGTAACATCCTCCGGGGGCTCACGGGGATCCATTGGGATGACTACGTCAGAAATGACGTAATTCACCGGATCCTCGGCGTTCCCTCGGTGGTTGAAACTATAAAAAAATTGTCTTTGAGGTACGCCCAAAGATTGTCTATGCATCCTAATAACGAAGCTGCGGACCTTATCCGCAGATACAACATTGGACTTAGACGCCTCAAACGGCGCAAACCGTTTGACTGCGTCGCGGACCAATTAGATTCATTCATAGACTAAAACTTCAAGATAACCTCGCCTCCCGGACTTTCCAGGGAGATGTCTTAACTTTTCCCAAAAGACAAATTACTTTATTCGCGGTGTATATCTCTTTTCATCTTTGTGTAACATGTGTTCTGCGAAGCACTCGCGGGGCGGCGCCACGGAGGGTCAGGGACTCACACACGCATTGCGTGGTGAGCTCCCTGTCCACCCGGGGCGCCGGGTCGCGGGGAGCAACGCGGAACGACTTTATTGCAGCCGCCTTCCGCATCGCCGCCCGCATTCCGCCCGAACATCTGAGGTAATTTTCTCAAAAATTGTGTTGATGCCAAATTTATCTTTAAGTATTTGTTATTTTGAAGAAAAGACATTAAGAATAATTTTAACTTTTATTTTGTGTACCTTCTGTATATTCACCCCCAAAAGACAGTCGTTATACCTCTTTGTTCTTACTCTCATCTAGTCACTTTCATAGAATTTTTTGACAAAAGACATTTATAATTCCCCAAATAAAACCACCATTTGGCACTTTCTAATGCGCTCTAACATCGAGCTAATCTTAATGTCTTTTATTATTCTTATTGATTGCGACTGAAACGACTGTCACTCGTGCTTAATGCACCCAATTCCAATCTCCTTTATTATCTTTACTATGTTATAGCGGGGTAGGGGGGCATAATAATTAAGATCCAAACACAATTGTAAATATCTATTTAATTAACTTACATATACATATATACAATACTTACAACAATCCTTATATACAGTCACTGTACATATTGTAATTTACCTAGGGCTGGCACTCCAGCCCACCCATTATTATAAAGTAGTTTTAGTTCTTAGTTATAAGAAATATAGTTAATACTCTGTAGTCCTATATATATTGAATAAAGAAAAAAAAAAAAAAAAAAAAAAAAAA